TTATATAATGTCCTAGTGGTTAAAGTGTTCGCTCGTCACGCCGAAGACCCGGGTTCGAATCCCGACATGGGTACAATGTGTGAAGCCCATTTCTGGTGTCCCCCGCCGTGATATTGCTGGAATATTGCTAAAAGCGGCGTAAAACCAAACTCACTCACTCACTCATTATATCATGTCAAATCGAAACGATCTGGAATATATCGTTGTTCACGTATTGAACTCACTGTTATTCTCGGCACGATATTATAACGGTAATGACTATGTCTTATAACACCAAGCACTTTCCTCACTGTCAAATTCATTTTTGTATATTGACGAAGTGAATGGATGTTGTTTAGCGCCGCAGTCAGTTATGTTCCAAGCTAAGGGATTGACTAGAAACTCTATATCGATGAAGACAGGATACACGTGGAAACTGTTTATCAATGATGACGGGATTGACAGCGAAGCTGCAGCATCCATGGAGGCGGAATTGGCGTCGAAGTTGTATAGTTGTGATGTCCTTTTAACTACATGTGCGAATCTCTGTGATACTTTTCAAGTTTTATCTGATGTTGATAAGTTCTCTTTTATTATGTTCAATGATGATTTGTTGTTTCTAACGGCCAAAACCTGCAAACTTTTACTTGAAAAACGCAAGAATATTTTATATAATGCTTAGATTTTCCTTCGTGATATATTTTACCACTTATATATTCTACTTGTATTTATTTTTATGTGACCTCGTCTCTCATAACTCATATTGAGTGGTTCGGTACTTTTATCTATGTTCTATGTATATATGTATGTAGTATGTTGTACAGAAGTGAGACGTTAATAAACAATTGTCTGTCTGTCTGTGATATCATTTACCGTTAATGTTTCACTGGGGTGTTCCGGTGCAGTTAGAATAGTACCGTTAGTAAGCATGTGACGGGATGTTAATTGTATGTCAGTCATGTCTTGACTGATACAAGTTTCTAAGTATAACTGATCTAAAGACCTTTGTGCACGTTTGAGGGAAAAGAAATGACAAAATAGAAGCAATATACATTAGGTTTAATCATGATTGAGGCACAGTGACTGATAATGATTGACAATGATTGATCACGCATCGATGAGTCCTTAACTAGATAGATTCTGTTCATGGCAATCTTTACCAACAGCAAATGAGAGGGTTTCAAAAACGGAAACCAAATCTCACACAGAGCTCTATTACCTCTTGCTCCGTAGACAGAATTAATCCATTCGTCTATTTTGAAAAATGAAAACAATAATAATAATTATAACATTCTTCACATATCGTTAACATTGTTCACATACACACAGACAATAAAGACAAGTCAATTATATACACTTTATATACGAAATGCATATGCTTGAGAATACAGACATGCATTTGATGTGTCTACATTGCATTTCAGATACATATAAACGTCGATCTGTTCTCTAGATTTAATACATGTAATAGAACGAGGTTTTCTAGATTCTAAATGCTGCCACTGCTGCCGTATTTCATTGCAATGACCTAACTTCCAGCGAAAGTGATCAGTCTGGCACTTTCGGTAACTACTTCTCAAAACTAAACACACGAAAGCACATCCTAGTTCAAATATAAAATAATATTTAAAATCTCCCGGGGGCACGGGTGGCCCAGTCGTCTAAGGCGCCGCGATTCGCTGTGCAGAGTTGCGTCCCTTGAGCACGCCAGAAACCTATGATTGTGGGTTCGAATCCCGGTTCGCCCCGATTATGTTTCTAGGTTTGTCAGCACGATACCCGTGCTCGTGGGTTTCACCGAAGTGGTAAACGTCTGAGACCTGCACCACTTTTGGCTTTCCCCCCACATTAAGCTGACACGCCGCGATATAACTGGAATACTGTTAAAAGCGGCGTTAAACCCAACTCACTAACTCCTACTTGTCTCTCATAATCTACGGAGGGAAAAGAGGTTCTACATGGGAAATAAGACATAAGATAAGATAAGGGCTTTTCAGTTAGTACAGTTTTCCCAATTTATAATGTCACAACTGGTTCCCTTTGTGGTCAGACAAGGTTGGTATTGAAATGAGGTTCACGGTTAAACTTTAGTCAGGGTCCCACCATTCGATAGATATTCTTGGCGGGGTTGGGGATGGGGTTGGGGATGGGGGTGGTGTGGTGGCTGGGATTTATCGAAAACATTAAAGTGTCCCCGAAAATTCTTGAAACACATTATTTTGTTTCAGTATGTCGACAAAAACAAAATGCCTGCCACAAAAATTAATTGTTTTCTTAAAATTAAATCAGACTCGTAGTTCTAAATATAATAACATCTGGTTTTGTAGCTGTAGTTGATAATATATTTAATCTCGATACAAAGTCCCACCCCAACCCCACCCCACCCCCCACGAATATCATATGGTTGGAACCTAAGGTACCCCCACCCCATTCTGGAGACATTGGTGTTGCCATTTTGGCATTATGAACAGGGTATACAGTAAAATATAGTATGCAGGTTGTAGCTCTCAGAACAAAACAGCAACGATAAATAAAACACATATTAAAAAACAATTATATACTAAGAGTGTGTCTCAATATTCATCATGTTTATATTCCTGATTCCACCACCCAGTAATACGTGTACGCTCTTGACACACATGCTTTACTTTACTATAATATCCAACGCACTTCACTATGTAAACTTGTACCATTCTTGCTTTTCAGGTGAACACTTGACTTGCCTTTGCATGTGTTTGTGACGTTTGCAATGCCTCCGGTGGGACAGGATCTGCTTACTTTTTCGCAAGCACCTGGTGTGACTCAGAGATATCGTATGATAGTGGAAATGGTTTGGCTGTTTTCATTCCATTTTGACGGTGCTGCCAACTATTCAAAAGCAAATTAAAACCAATTACACTCGGACGTGCAATTTTCGCTTCTTTGACAGAATTCGGTCCACAGCGTGACTCCCAGTCAGCATAAACGTACTACATTGTTACACATTCGCCACGCGGAGGGAAGCTGGGGAAATCAGCGTGCTCTCAAAATTATATCGCTATCAGTGGTGCTCGTCAACGAATGAGTCTCTCTTCATGGGATCACCCATTGAAATACTTCTCAAAGGAAGTCAAAGGCATGACGGATTAACTGTAGCAATCTGACAAATCGGTCTTCTTTGATTTCCTTTGAGTAACATATAAAAAGCACTCGCACAAAATGAAATGCATTAATATGGATTTTATGTAATACAATATGGCAATAATCTCGATAACTGCTAACCTTTGAGCACACCCCAGTGTGTATCAAATGACGTTTTAGAGCGCGTTGTTATGGACAGGGTAAAATATACAGTTTCATGAGATGCCAGGACGTCGCAATTTGCTATGCAGAGTTGCGCCCCTTAGAAGTGCCAGGATCCACTGGACCAGATTCTCCCTGATTAGAATCCCTGGTTAGCATCATACCACTCGTGGTAAACATCTTAGACCTGCATCACTTCAGCATTTTTCCGACATCAAGTTGACACGTCATGATATAATTGAAATACTGAGACAGTAATAAGCAGATCAAAGCAACGTTAAACAAAACTCACTCACTCACTCAAGCAGTAAATTCAACATTCATTCAGGTTACGTATTATTTCAGAAGCATAATAAGTAATACAACATTTCAGTTAGAATAATAATGTCAATGAGGATATTGCCCAGTTTGCAAGGATACCTTATCAAAGTAACACTCTGTCTAATGAACAAACAAATCGTTTCAAAGTTTAGCTCCGAGTGGCGACGAATACCGTGTGTATGAGTTAAGATAACCATGCGACAACTATTTGATGTATCAAACGGTTATACAGTAAACTACGGTTATAACGAACTCAAAGGGGCTACTAATTTTAGTTCGTTATAACCGTAATTCGTTATAAGCATATATACAGTATAACTACACCAAATAGTCGGGACTAAAAAGTTAGTTCGTTATATCCGTTAGTTCGTTATAAGCGTGTTCGTTATAACCGTAGTTTACTGTACTTCTCCAAGAGCCAGTTTGTGGTATCCGCTGACCTGTCATGTGACCTGTCAAGTTGATTATCACGCCCACTGGACTGAGAATGGTTCGTTATACCAGACTTCGTAATATCAGTAGTAATGATGTTGGTAACTTCCCTCACACCATACAACCAGTCGTGCCAGCTGACAATGTTCCTGTAGCATGGAAAAATACAAAAGAGAGCACACCAGTCCGCAATCAAACTCATCCCCAACTTTCGGTCTCGTTGTCATTGTTTCTCTGGTTAAACGGTGTAAACATCAGGGATCACCGATTAACATGCTTTATCTTGAGAAAAAACACACAGAAACAACAATACCTTTATTTGGTACAGAAAGATTATGGGGTACTTCAATCGGACTTAGTATGCGGTTCTGTGCAGGTTTGTGATTACGTCATGGTATGTGGTTACGTCATGGTATGTGGTTACGTCCTAGTGTGTGGTTACGTCCTGGTATGTGGTTACGTCCTGGTATGTGGTTACGTCATGATATGTGGTTACGTCATGGTATGTGGTTACGTCCTTGTATGTGGTTACGTCCTGGTATGGGGTTACGTCCTGGTATTTTGTTACGTCATGATATGTGGTTACGTCCTGGTATGTGGTTACGTCCTGGTATGTGGTTATGTCATGGTATGTGGTTTCGTCATGGTATGTGGTTACGTCATGGTATGTGGTTACGTCATGGTATGTGGTTACGTCATGGTATGTGGTTACGCCATGGTATGTGGTTACGTCATGGTATGTGGTTTCGTCATGGTATGTGGTTACGTCATGGTATGTGGTTACGTCATGGTATGTGGTTACGTCCTGGTATTGGGTTACGTCCTGGTATTTTGTTACGTAATGATGTGTGGTTACGTCCTGGTATGTGGTTACGTCATGGAATGTGGTTACGTCCTGGTATGTGGTAACGTCCTGGTATGTGGTTACGTCCTGGCATGTGGTTACGTCATGGTATGTGGTTACGTCCTGGTATTATGTTACGTCATGATATGTGGTTACGTCCTGGTATGTGGTTACGTCCTGGTATGTGGTTACGTCCTGGTATGTGGTTACGTCCTGGCATGTGGTTACGTCCTGGTATGTGGTTACGTCATGGTATTATGTTACGTCATGATATGTGGTTACGTCATGGTATGTGGTTACGTCATGGTATGTGGTTACGTCATGGTATGTGGTTACGTCCTGGTATGTGGTTACGTCATGGTATGTGGTTACGTCCTGGTATGTGGTCACGTCACGGATATAGACTACCTCCTCGGTTGTAACGAAGTCAATAGTTTGCTCGCTCATAGTACTGACAGTAAAGCTGTCTCCAATTCGAGGCTGTGGAGGACGAATCAAGTTAAAACTTTCTGGAGCTGTACATATGGCAGGCAGTACATCCCAACTAGTTTGCTCTGATCCTCCGTACACATCACAACAAGATGACGGTCAGCCTTATTGTTGCTGTTGCTGTTGCTGTTGCCACCTGCAACGTTCAGATAGCCAAGGAATAGAAATCTAAACTGATGAGACAGCACAATACATAGTCAATAAGGCATGAAATGCGTATTTTGCTTCATACTCCACATCTATATCAACGTGCATACGGGTTTAACACATATAAAACTAATCTGAGCAAACAGACATACTTACATGTACGGAAGCCTTTTAGGGCCATTTGGTTTTTTGTGTGTTTTTCTTGAACTTTCAAGATACTTAGTTGAAATTTCAAGATACTGGCTTGAAATTCCAAGATAAATAAATTGAAACTTCAAGATTTCAAGATGTTATGTTGAAATTTCAAGATACATACTAAGTTGAAATTACAAGATATTAATAAGTTGAAATTTCAAGTTATTTTCTTAACTCAGTATGTAACTTTAATTTTCAACTTAGTTTCTTGAAGTTTCCATATAACATCTTGAAATTTGAAATTTGAAAATTGAAAGTGAGTTTCTTGAAATTTCAAGAAAAAAATATTAAAACAAATGGCCCTAAAAGGCTTCCGTACGTACTAATATTGACGCACTTTTCAACTAATGGCTTACCTACTGCTCTGAGAACACCCATGATCGACCGTTACGGTATGATCAGCTGTAACTTGTTTGTGTTTTGTTTAACACCGCATGACAATATTCTAGCCATATGACGGCGGTCTGTAAACATCGAGTCTGGACCAGACAGTCCAGTGATTGACATCATGAGCATCGATCTACGCAAATGGGATACGATGACATGCATCAACCAAGTCAGGGAGTCTGACCATCCGATCCCGTCAGTCGCCGAACATGGGTTGCTGAAGACCAGTTGTAACCCAATCTTCACGGCTAACAGTGAGTGAGTGAGTGAGTGAATATGGTTTTACGCCGCTTTTAGCAATATTCCAGCAATAGCACGGCGGGGGACACCGGAAATGGGCTTCACACATTGTACCCATGTCGGGAATTTGAACCCGGGTCTTCGGCGTGACGAGCGAACGCTTTAACCACTAGCTGGCTACCTGACCGCCCCTACCAAGAGTAAGAGGTTTGTCGCTTAACCTAACGGCTAACAGATGACAAAAAAGGGGATGCGTTTTGCTGTCTCGTTCGCCTTGCTGTCTCATACTTACATGTGCATTCCTGACGCAGACCCAACTGTCGTACATGTTGACACATCAACGGGGTCCTTTCCAAGTATTCACTGGGAATCTGCTGTGTCCTCTATTTCTTGGAATCCTTTGTTTTTATTGTTCTTTCGATAGATTCTGTGTCATCAACGTCTACGAATTGGGTAAAAACGTCCTCACATCAGTCCCCAAACTAAATCCTGCTTCATGGACATCCTCTCCGAAAATGACAGAAAAGGTGATGCCCATTGTCAATTTAAACATCCTTAATAGGGCTTAGCGAATAACATATTGAGCCCTTTACGCGCATATTTACATATTTACTTATAAGTGCTCGGCTTGACACGAGAGAAATAGTTTTGAGGGTCTTAACTAGTGGGTGTAATTATCAAATCATAAAGGAGGACGATGACGTCGAAACACGACTAATCTCTGTGTAAAGGAATAAAACAGACATGAGTAAAACCCACACTTCCTCCGTGTATTGGTCTATACCGTGAAGCCACACCCCACGTCCATGAGTGGAGGTGTATTGGCCGTGAAATCCCACGTCACATCCATGAGTGGAGGTGTATTGGCCGTGAAATCCCACGTCACGTCAAGAGTGGAGGTGTATAGACCGTGAAATCCCACGTCACGTCCAAGAGTGGAGGTGTATTGGCCGTGAAATCCCACGTAACGTCAAGAGTGGAGGTGTATTGACCGTGAAATCCCACGTCACGTCCAAGAGTGGAGGTGTATTGACCGTGAAATCCCACGTCACGTCCAAGAGTGGAGGTGTATTGACCGTGAAATCCCACGTCACGTCCAAAAGTGGAGGTGTATTGGCCGTGAAATCCCACGTCACGTCCAAGAGTGGAGGTGTATTGGCCGTGAAATCCCATGTCAAGTCCAAGCCTGGAGGTGTATTGACCGTGAAATCCCACGTCACGTCCAAGAGTGGGGGTGTATAGACCGTGAAATCCCACGTCACGTCCAAGAGTGGAGGTGTATTGACCGTGAAATCCCACGTCACGTCCAGGACTGGAGGGGTTTTGACCGATACACCGAGGAAGGGGAGGGTACGACTCTTACAAGTCACATTTATTTAGCATTTAATTTACAACGATTTACCTATGTGTAGTCATGACAACGGGGTACAAGAATTAGGTATTTATTAATGACCGACGAGCATCCGGCATCCATTGTGTCGTGAAAAGTAGAAACTGAATTTTTCCTAATGTCTTTCGAACTACAACGCAAATATAACAATATATATATACTGTATATGTACACACACGCTGAAAGTGTTTCTGGCTAAAAAGACGCATTAAGAAAGCTGCATATTTTTAGCTTTTCTCTCCCCAAACACACGAATTATCACAGGGCATAGCAGTTTTCGAGGTAGCTTTGAATGCACAAAAAACTGTTGTTATCCGCCACTGATTCACATCAACAATCTGCTACATACACCAGTGTTGGTGATATCCATCACATCAAACATGTTCCGTCACAGCTTGCGCTTTCCGTACATGCGTACAAGGCAAAACGACGCTTTCACAGAATGTCACAGCTCAGCTCATTCTCAAAACCTTTTCACATATATTGTTACATGATCCACGCAAGTAATTACACTGAAAGGTCCCCCGCTTCTGTTCGGCCTACATGTATGCGCCTTCACTTTTGTTTCTCTGTCAGACCTCGTCTCATGTAAAACTTCATCATGTTGAACAACGCAATCCACGCCTTCTCCAGCTCGGGGCTCCAGCGGTCATCCAGGTTGGATCTCAGTGCATATATAAACTGTTCGCCCATCATCTGAAATGTACAACGCCAACATATACACGTCGAAGAACACAATACAACCATATTAAAGAACAAGCTCTATATCCCATGAAAACATTCAAAAGTAAGAACATATTACAACTTATATCAAATGTAAGAAATGCGACGACCACCTCTCACTACCAGTACACAACTACTACTGCTTCTGCTGTTGCAACCACTGCTACTACAACGTTTACTTCTACTACGACTACAACGTTTACTTCTACTACTACTACTACTACTACAACGTTTACTTCTACTACTACTACTACTACTACCACTTCTACAACTACTACAACGTTTACTTCTACTACTACCACGACTTCGACTTCTACTACTGCTAATACTATTACAACTACTACTACTATTACAACTGCTACCACTACCACGACTTCGACTACTACTACTACTACTACTACTACTACTACTACAACCACGACTTCGACGCGACCACAACTTCTGCTGCTAGTACTACTACGGACACTACTGCTTCTCTCATTAGGTTTATCAATTTGAAATTTCATGTTTTAACAACTTTTTTTTTTTAAAATATCCCAAAACCTAGAAACATTAACGTCACGTTAGACGAAACACCACTCCGTCCTGAAAGGTTAAATCATAAATACTTTTACGACCGGTGATCGTTGATACATAATGATGAATGTTTGTATGTATCAGTTTACAGCAAGCCGCATGACCTCTGAGTCTCCGGGATGCCCATTAATGTAACTAACTCCGATGGAAGCAGGCTGATAGGGTACATGCGTAATCGACTGGTATATGTATTTTGTAACCTCTATGGATTTAGAGCGACGGTGTGGCTGGAATCGTCGACCAGCTGAGACCGCGTCTGTTATTTAACACGGAACTCTGACACGTGTTTATGGTTTGGAACAGCATAGTGAATTATTCACTAAATCAATACTCTATGGCTTCACGCAACATTATAACGTAGAAGCAGGTCTAACTGTTCGTGTCCCCGATGATCATCTAGCCGATCGCGTTGTGTTATGAATACATATACACATAGATACTAATGCACGTGAAACAAAGGATACAAAACCATCGGTAATTACGGAGTAAAACGGGATCCTCGTGGGAAATAGTACATGCATCCCCGGTATGTCGTTAGTAGCGATCAAACAGGTCCGCACAGGGTTTAGTAGTCTCACAGACGGCTAACATGGTGAGGTGAGGTGAAATTGGGTTTAACGTCGCGTCCAAGATTATTGCACTTATATAGCGACGTGCATGCACGTGTATGTGTGTGTGTGGCTGCTTGTACCAGTCCGGACTGATGCCGATTTATAGTGCTACCTCACTGAGATACCATGCCGCAGTTTAACATGAATACCCCACTCAGACACAGTATACTGACTCCGAGCCGACCAGTCCTTGTTTTAGCCCCTTAATGCCGAGCGCCATACAGGGTAACAACAAGTACAATCTTTTAACGTCTTTTTGTATGACGCGGCCCGGGATCGAACCCTGAACCTTCCGCTCTCCGGGCGGACGCTCTACCACAAGACCACGGAGGCGGTCCGGCTAACATGGGATTTGTGTGGTTTCCGTACGGTATGGAGTAAGTAAAAATCTGAAAACCGAGGTATCAAATACCTGGCCGAACAAAGTCATCTTGGTACCGAAACGATATATTTTCTGCGACAGTGCTTTTAAATGCATTACATCTAGTTAGACCGTTTTCACAAGCCAGTGTTAATAGCAGATGAGTGAGTAGGGTTTTACGCCGCTTTTAGTAATATTCCGGCAATATCACGGCGGGGAACACCAGAAATGGGCTTCACACATTGTAGCCATGTCGGGAATCGAACCTGGGTTTTCGGCGTGACGAGCGAACGCTTTAACCACTAGGCTAACCCACAGGCCCCAGTGTTAATTTATAACCACACTAAGCCTATGATAATGCGAGCATACTACTCAAAAGAACTTAAAGAACACTCGATTTTGTTCATATGAATTTTGTTGACGTCATGCCATGAGAGATTAACTATACTATTAGTCATATGAAAAAATCGGGTGTTCTTTAACTTCTTTTGAGTAGTATATATAATCTTGATCAGGCCGATGAAAACAATTGGTCAAGTAACATAAACAAGTAACTTAATCTGACAGAACCTTTCATTGGTCCTATAATCTTTTAGCTTGACTCTGAAGCATGCATGCATGTCCTTTCCTCTTTATACTGGAGCTCCTTAAAATCTACAAGCTCCATCCCTTCTTGCTGGTCTGTTTCCTAACGGGTCGTGAATTTTTTCTCTGAACGGCAAGGTCAGAACAAGGACATGTAGCCAAGAAGCTTAACGTAAGCTTCAGGGCCATCGATGATCTGATATGGCCCAATTATGGTCTGTTTTCCAATTCCCTTCCACTTATATACCGACCCGTGAAGATTCGGGGTAGAATAGGTCTTCAGCAACCCACGCTTGCCGTATGAGACGACTAACGGGATCGGGTGGTCAGGCTCGCTGACTTAAAAGCTTGGTAGCTGCTTGTCATCGATCCCAATTGCGTGGATCGATGCTCATGATATTAATCACTGGACTGTCTGGTCCAGACTCGATTATTTACAGACCGCCGTCATATAACTGGAATATTGCTAAGTGCGGCGTAAAACAACAAACCAAATCTACCACTTATTTACCTACCCGAACAAGTAATAAATAAGACCAACGAAACCGACTCATCTGTTTCATATTTAGATATTTGCAAAAATATGCAAAAGTAGCAAAAACTATCCACAGACTGTATGACAAGGGGGATGTCCAGTAGTCAACTATCCCTTTTTTTTAAGCAATAAATACAATCGAGCGCCACACGACCCTTGCTCAAACGTTCTTTGATCAGGGTTACTGGATTCAAGGTTAATTGTTCAAACGTTTTTATGGTTCTACTACTACTACTACTACTACTACTACTACTACTACTACTACTGGGGCGGTCGGGTAGCCTAGTGGTTAAAGCGTTCGCTCGTTACGCCGAAGACCCGGGTTCGATTCTCGACATGGGTACAATGTGTGAAGCCCATTTCTGGTGTCCCCCGCCGTGATATTGCTGGAATATTGCTAAAAGCGGCGTAAAACCATACTCACTCACTCACTCACTACTACTACTACCACTATTAGGGGCGTGGGGTAGCCTAGTAGTTTCAGCGTTCGCCCGTCACGCCTAAGACCCGGGTTCGATTCCCCACGGGGGCACGGGTGGCCCAGTCGTCTGAGGTGCCGCGATTCGCTGTGCAGAGTTGCGTCCCTTGGGCACGCCAGAAACCTATGATTGTGGGTTCGAATCCCGGTTCACCCCGATTATGTTTCTAGGTTTGTCAGCACCATACCCGTGCTCGTGGGTTTCACCGAAGTGGTAAACGTCTGAGACCTGCATCACTTTGGGCTTTCCTCCCACATTAAGCTGACACGCCGTGATATAACTGGAATACTGTTAAAAGCGACGTTAAACCCAACTCACTCACTCACTCGATTCCCCACATTGCTATAATGTGTGAAGCCCATTATTGGTGTCCTCCGCGATACATTGCTGGAATATTGCTAAACGCGACGCAAAACCATACTTACAATTACCCATTACAACCATTATCATTCCACACCCTCATCAAAGTATTTGTGTAGGTGGTGAATTTATTTATTATTTTTTATGAGTAGTTATTGTAGTATAGCGTTGGACTCACGTCTATATACTCTGGCTTGATATTGTAGTTTAAATGTCTCCGGCCGAGTTCCCCCATAAGTCCCTCCACCTTGGAAGGACTGTCAATCCTGTTCAGACACTTGTCTACCGTCATCATCACTCGCAGCGCATGCGCACGCAAGATGGCACTTTGTTCCATGTCTGTCGTGGATAGACCGCGGAATGGAAGGAAAGCATCTTGAACATCCGGGTGTGTCTCGAATAACCTGAAAAAAAACCAGGAAGAGCTATGAGGGTATCTCTATCATACTTACTAAGGTTGCCAATTGACCCGAGTGATTAAATGCAAATTGTATCAGAGGCGGTGCTATCGATGGGTCAAGACATGCTTACCCTAGTGTCATCACTGATTTTCAGTGATCCATTCATTGTAATTATCGCCGCCATTTTGCTCTTTACGCCCAGTGGGTGAGGTGAGGTGAAATAGGGTTTAACGTCGCGTCCAAGATTATTGCACTTATATAGCGACGTGCATGCACGTGTGTGTGTGTGTGGCTGCTTGTACTTGTCCGGACTGATGCCGATTTATAGTGCTAGCACACTGAGATACCATGCCGCAGTTTAACATGAATACCCAACTCAGACACAGTATACTGACTCCGAGCCGACCAGTCCTTGTTTTAGCCCCTTAATGCCGAGCGTAAAGCCAGGGTAACAATTAGTACCATCTTTTAACGTCTTTTGGTATGACGCGGTCGGGGATCTAACCCCGGACCTTCCGCTCTCCGGGCGGACGCTCTACCACTAGACCACGGAGGCGGTCTTACGCCCAATGGAATTTGTCTCGGTGAATAATCGAGACTGGGCGACATTTTATAGAGGGGCGGTCGGGTAGCCTAGTGGTTAAAGCTTTCGCTCGTCACGCCGGAGACCCGGGTTCGATTCCCGACATGGGTACTAAGTTTGAAGCCCATTTCTGGTGTCCCCTGTCGTGATATTGCTGGAATATTGCTGAAAGCGGCGTAAAACCAAACTCACTCACTCGACGCTTCAAGAGACGCTAGGTACCAAATCAAACTGACCTTCTAGCGTTGATGCGCACAAAGATAGATCCGGTTTGTGTAAAGATAAGAATCTTTCCCCAGATGATGCACATTAAGTACTCAACGTGCATCGATCAATTTCAGTTATGATACCAACTGCAGGCAAGTGCCTTTCAGAACACTTTTGGAATTCATTGGTATTGATTATTGTCGTCATCGTGTGGAAATTATGGTATTCATGGAATTATTTAACTGTAATTGTTCATATCAATAAAATGTAGAAACTGTTAATTGCCATCATTTAATCCGATTTTCATAAATATTGAGTCACTGTGGTATTTGTGCGATGTTGCACACCGTAATCACCAGGTCACACACCGATCTCATTTCCTGGTGACGGCTTTATGAGGTTAGGCTAATACTATCACCTAAACGTAAAATTGCTTTACGACATATAATTCTCCAAAAGGAAATCTGTAGCAGATATTTTCTTTTGTGAGTATCACGAAGTGATTGAAGGATATGTGTATGATGAATATATTGATCAATAAAAACCCTCGCTTTGAGCAATATTCCAGCAACATCACGGCAGGGGACACCAGAAATGAGCTTCACACATTGTATTGTACCCATATGGGGAACAGAACCCGGGCCTTCGGCGTGACGAGCAAACGCTTTACCCACTGGCCCCGCAGAAACAGATTTCATCGGGTATAAAAGACAAAATTGAGGGGAACATGATATGAACGGATCATTGAAAATAGTGACGAAACCAGGTGTTCGCGAAAGGGCAAACATGTCCTGCTCCACCTGAAGCGACCGCCTCCGTGGTCTAGTGGTAGTGCGTCCTCCCGGAGAGCGGAAGATCCGGGGTTCAATCCCCGGCCGCGTCATACCAAAAGACGTTAAAAGATGGTACTTGTTGTTACCCTGTCTGGCGCTCGGCATTATGGGGCTAAAACAAGGACTGCTCGGCTCGGAGTTAGTATACTGTGTCTGAGTGGGGTTTCCATCTTAAACTGCGGCATGGTATCTCAGTGGGCTAGCACTCTAAATCGGCATCTGTCCGGAGTAGTACAAGCAGCCACACAAACACACACACACGTGCATGCACGTCGCTATATAAGTGCAATAATCTTGGACGCAACGTTAAACCCCACCTCACCTCACCTCACCTCACCTCACCTCACCTCACCTCCATCTGAAGCCATCAACCCCGACATAATTTACGTAAACAGATATGCAGTATTTCCGTGTGCAATTCATTTAGAGTTTAGGTCTTTGACCAAATAGTTTGGATTTCAAAATCACCATAAAACCAAGTTGCATCAATAAGCGGCATGGATGTCATCTGACACAGAATATATTCGTTCAGGAATAAAACCCCTGCGGTCTGTTTTAGCTTCAACAATAATTATATAAGAAGCATAGATGAATTTGAAGTTATGCCTACACTAAATGTGGTTCAGCAAAATAATGCAGTTGGGTATTTAAAGAGTGGTGAGTCACTGTCGACGTTTCAACGTGCCTGATGGCTGATTATCATTGCTTATGCTGCTAACCACGGGTTTCTCTTTCCGAGACCCAATTATTTACAGGCTGCTGTTACATCGAATATATCAACGTATAACGACAAAATAGCTTTACAACATTGTATAAATCGACGTAAAGCAACACCCGCTCTAATTATTATTAATGTTGTTGTTGTTGTTATTATTATTATTATTATTATTATTATTATTATTATTATTATTGTTGTTATTATTATTATTATGATGATGATGATGATGATGATGATGATGATGATGATGATGATGATTACATACAGATTTTTTAAAAATGCAGCAAAGAGGGTTTGGATGACCCTGGCACAGTCAGGCTGGTTAGTCTCATCATCAGCTCAGGGCCCTTGCTCCCTCTACAGGCAGCCCAGACAGCGCTGCCTAGTCGAACCCACCCGGAACTTTCCGGAGAATGTGAAGACTCCCCAACACTGCCGCCTTCTGCATTACCAAAACTGCCAGAAGGGCTGTTTTCCTGGCAGCAAACCCGGGTACTCTCCCAAAGGCAGTCAACAGATTGGGAGGTACCAAACCTAAGGCACCGAGAACAATGGAGAGTCGGACAACTTGGTTCTTGGGATGCAAGCGTGATATTTTGAAAGCGAGGTCCGCATATTTACAATGTTTTTGTTTTTTTCTATTAGTGTCAAAAGGGACAGAAAATTCAATGATATAAATGATTTCATTGGCTTTATAAAAAAATAAGATCAGGTTTGTTGGCCTGGATAGGTCTGAGGCTGTCTAAGGGCCTATTCCAAAGAATTTTGTATTTGTCATTTTCCATGACGCCCCCTGCATATTCTTGGTTGTGCCAGGGATGAACCTCTTGAGTCAAAACCACAGTAATAAAGAGATGGAAGGTACCAAACAGCAATGGAGTATCGAATAACTTTGTACTTGGGAGGCAAGCGTAACATTTCGAAAGCGAGGGCTGTATATTTGGCATGTTTTCCGTGAATCCTGTCAAGAGGGACAGAGAACTCGATGACATAAATGATTTCATTGGATTTATCAAAAAGGACAAGATTAGGTTTGTTGGCTTGGATACGTCCGAGGCTGTCTACGGGCCGATTCCAAAGAATTTTGTATTTGTCATTTTCCATGACGCCCCCTACATATTCTGGTCTGTGTCAGGGATGAACCTCTTGAGTCAAACCCACAAGCATGGCGAAGACGATAAAAAAAGAATGATATTATAATAATAATTATTTTTATGTGATCAGGAGCCGCTGTCGGAACCCCTTGTGTTTCACATCAACCAACATAATGTACTTGCTGCTACCAAGGTCACAGACACACAATATATTCGACCCGTGAAGATTCCGGGGTAGAATAGGTCTTCAGCAACCCATGCTGGCCGTAAAAGGTGACTATTCTTGTCGTAAAAGGCGACAAACGGGATCGGGTGGTCAGGCTCGCTGACTTGGTTGGTGCATGTCATCGTATCCCAATTGCGTGGATCGATGCTCATGATATCAATCACTGGATTGTCTCGTCCAAACTCGATTATTTACAGACCGCCGTCATATAGCTGGAATATTGCTGAGTGCGGCGTTAAACAACAAACCAACCAAGCAACCACAATATCTTCACTTACACCATCAGTAACACCATTTTGGGATTTGCAAGCACCTGTGTGTCTTTGGGCCAACAGCCGGAGCAGAACGTACCAAAATCTGACATGAATTTATCGAATGGAACATCTGTTGCTTCTCCACGTTGTAGTGGGCCTTATGTGTATATTCCACACAACATAGGAAGCCATTTCTCAGAACCAAATCGATAAATAAATCTGAAATATGTCGACATCGAGAAAGATTTCACTATTTTCCAGTGTTTTTTGTAGCTAAAGTATACATTATTGTCCCCCTAAACCCGTTGAATATACGTATCGGTATCTCATTTTGTGCATTTAATGTTGGTACGTATATTGAGCACTTTCCGCATTTGAATAATTATAGAAAACAAACATGACATTTTAGGTTGTCTTTCGTGATCGATACCTATTTACAGTACCGTGAAGATCCGGGGTAGAATAGGTCTTCAGCAACCAATATGCTTGCTGGAAAAGGTGACTATGCTTGTCGTGAGTGGCGACTAACGGGATCGAGTGGTCAGACTCGCTGACTTGGTTGATGTGTGTTTTCTTAATCCGGAAAATCCGGAAATGGTTTCAATTAGATTTATTAATCCTCCTTCCCTTTCACTGCTCATTTCTTAACTGCTTTTCTGCAAGTGATTTAGTGCGTAACTAGGTATGTGTGGTGGGTGGTTGGTTGATGGTTGGTTGGTTACAGAGTGAGTGAGTGAGTCGCCGTTGGGACACGAGCAACACATATATTATATTGAATTCATTTAAGAATCAATATGTGGTCTTCGTCGTGAAGAGCGAACACTAGCAGCTGGGCCGTTGAACCTGCAGCTAGCAGCAATCAACGTTCGATGTTCCCAACGCAGCCTATTCCAGTCAACAACTGCCACGTCTCTCATTTGAACGCCTAAGAAAAGGTGACGTTTGTCACGAAAATCACAATTGAAAATTAGTCACGGATGCTTTTGAACAATTTTGTTCACCACTTTGATGAAATGTCGGCTTTGATCATGATCAGCTTTTAGCTCTGATGTGAAAGACATTTTGATCATATTAGGATGAGAGGTTTA